ACTGTCAAAAACCGAATGTCGTACATTTTTTGATCTCATTCATTCTGCTCTACCAAATCCCAACAATTTACCATCCAACATGAACCAATTATTGTCAATGTTTCAATTGAAACATAACTTATTTAAAAAAAGAAAAATTTGTCTTTTATGTTATAAAAAAATAGGTGATGATGTAGGCTTTTGTTCTGATTGTCCAACGTCCAATGAAGCTACTACTGCTATTATTTATGATTCAGATATTAAATCCATTCTTTCGTTATTATTGAAAAAGCTTTGGAAAAAAATTCGCTCATACAAAGAAGAACTTCAAGCAAACAATGATGCATCGTATACCTATGATATTGGTTTTGCTTATGCTTATCAAAATTTATTACGTCAATTTTCTAATGAAACTTTTATTTAACTTTTTCTTTTTGTGTGTAATTGATTTAAAAATTATCAGATAGTCAAAATAAATAAAAGCTGATGAACCAAAGATATCTTCAGTAGTATATGAATTTGTGCATTATCCATTAAAAATAAAAAGTTGAGACTGAAACATCAGTACTGCAAACAGAATCAAGCTCGGTTATGAAAATAAAACCTCATCGGATCTTGTGGGTTCCAATATTTTCCGATTGACGGATCCAACTATCGGAAATCGTCGGATCCGACATCCGACAACTTCCTGTCGGAATCCTGCACCAAGGATTCCGATGATTTCCGACAAGATCCTATCGGAAGTTGTCGGATCCCTGTCGGAAATCATGGGTTTATTTGGGATATCCTATCGGATCCTGTCGGATCCTAGACTGGGATTGTTCGACCTGGGTTGCAACCAATTATTTGGAACAATTTTTCAAAAAGAACCACGATTGTGTCTTCTTTGTCGATCGAGTAATGTCATCCTTGTTATCACCTCATCTTTTATAGGAATTTTCTGAACACATTCGTTTGATTTCAATTGATGAATTATTTGAGAAAGTTTCGTTAATGACATCTCATGATTATTAGCCTTATATTAATTGACTAGTATTTACTGTAGAAAAGCAAATTCTGTCATCTGCTAACTTAATATATTTCTACAGAAGCTCAGGAACGATACGAAAGATCAAACTCGTATCTATAACTGAGAGTATTTGTTGAACGTTTTTCAAAAATACCATTGATTGTATATTCAATCTTTAGGAGATCTTTTTTTGTTTTCATCGTTTCCTTTTTCAGAGCACAGAACATTCAATCTTGAGATTATGGTGTGTGTCCTGGTATAAACCTTCTCTTCACCCACAGTCACGCCCCAGTTTTCGTTCTGCGTTTAAGTCTTTCCAGAAATTTATAACTGTGATAACAGCTACTCATGAAGTAAATTTTTTGCATATTTGTTACAATTCTATTGCAATGTATACAAAAAAAAGATTGTAGAAATCTTTTGCACGCGATTGTTTAGTTATGATCAACTGATGGCTCAGGATGAGTAGATGTTTCAAATGCTACATTGATCTAGTAAGTCTCTGTAAGCTTCACCGAGAATAGCATTTCTTCAAGAAAACAGTTTCATTTTTATATATTTGTGTGGTATTAGTCGAATGGCATGCGTCAAATAATCATTTTTAAACAAATTAATAAGCGTATGATTTCAAAAGTTTCAATAGAATCTTACTCTCACTTTTATCTTCCATTTATTCAATTGGATTGCCTTAGAGAATTCAAACAAACAGATGTATGCATCAGCTTTTTACGAAGTATTTTCTTTGACATGTTGTCTCATTATCGATAAGTATTGACATAAGGTTAGATGGTGTAAACCGACTACGTATGATTCATTAATACCATCATGATAAAAACACACTTAGTTATTTTTTTATGTGCACATTCTAATCCATTAAGTTTAACATAAGCACAATGTTAGCTGATACTTTGGCTGTGTTGATTCTAGTGTTGATGGTTAATATGATTGCTTACGTTCACCCATACCCTCACAGCTTTGTGGTCAAAAAAGATTTCTTTTCGGGAATCATATCACGCGAGTTTTCAGTTTATGATATAACTGAAAAACAACTAATATATCGTATCGGATCTCGATTTGCTTTTCGACATAACAATGAAATAGTGGCTTATCCATCAAAGCAAGTCGTGGGTAAATTAACTGGTCGACCATCACTGCTGAAATATGGTGCTGATATTTCACTTCTTGATCTATCATCCAATAAGTGGATCAGTGGAAATATTACAGAAACATCCACTTGGCGAATGAGCGAATTTACCATCCATTGGAATGGAACATGTATAATATTGAAAAGCAAACCTGATATTCTTCCTAACGAATTTTATGAAAAAGGTCGTACTGAGCTCTTAGCTCAGTTCAAACAACGACCCGCATCAAGATTGTGGACGGCAAAATACAATATGGATATATTCTCCATTAAGTTTCCCGACGCATTGTATCTTCTTGCATTAACTGCCAAAGAACTCAGATCAGCACCACGAAGAGGCAAAAAGTGAAATAACTTGCTACTGATCAAGACAATCGCATGGAATGATTGATTTATTTTAATCTACATCATTCTATTCTTTTACTAATCCTCATCATATATACGGAATAAACATTTGAGATGACACAAGTAAAAATAAAATAAATTTTAAAAAAGTCTTAATCGATTGAAATTGAAATTGAATTTTGAATTTGTCGAATGAGAGAAAAGCTGTCAGGAATTTAAGCATGAAATAGACAAAATGGTTATGATGAAATTGGAATATGGAATTGTTTGGAGATATGTGGACTGGTGTAAAGAATCTCTTCATCAAAAGTCCACACTCATCATTGTTCATGACCAAAACATGAAAACCAAAAGTACTGCTGACTGAATATTTCAGATTTGATCGCATAGTCTGCTGACGTCTGTCATCCCACCTGACAGACGTGCAGCTCAGATTTATCTATGATAACAGTAGCAGGTTTATGTCTATATAATCTTAACTAGATCTGTTTCAAAACTTGTTAGAAGATTATTTCGAATGTTGTCAACTTGGACAGGGTCATTGCATAGATGTTGATCACCATAGGCCGTAATCAACACGAGCGACATGCATACCTGTTGTACCATTGTGTCTCGACAAGAAGAATCTATGTGAGTCGAGTTCTACTCAACCAATTACGATGACATATTTTTATTTTGCTAGTCTAAATACGATCATTCAATTCTGGAAAAATCAAGTTTTTATTTGTTTTAGTTTCTGAGAGATATGAACAAAGAAGATTGGATATTAAAGAGAACAAATAGGGGAAAATCATATTAAAAGTAAAAGAGATTTGTTTCATAAAGCTTGTTAATACGGAAATCTACACAAAATAAAAAAAGATGATGTGCAAGCTGAATGCAAAGTGATTTTTTTCAGTGTTGTTATTGCTTTAATTCAATGAAAACTGAATCATTTAACAGAAAAATTTTACCTTGTTTTTCAGCTCATAGAGTGGAGTGATATCCCAAAAAAATCAAGCAAAAATCTTTCTCTGTTCGGAAGAAAATTTAATTTTATTAACGAAGTATAGAGCGACATTTTTAAAGTAAAATATGACACGAAAGTAACCAAACAAAATATCGGTGCTTATCATTCTTCAATAGAAGGATACTGAAAGAAAAATTTTCTTGCTGGAAGATTGAGACTTTTCCCTATTTCAAATTGCATATAACTTATTTTTAGAACAGACTCATAAAAGAAAGAACATAACAGAATAGAGCGGAGTCCTTAACAAGAATCTGCACTTTCCTATGAAAAGAGTGCACAAAACATCGCTCCTTATATCTCTTCGATACATGGGCCCTGAAAAGAATACGTTTTTTTATCGGTGAATAGGAAATTTTCTTCTTTTCCGAACAGTGAAAGATCTATATTTGTTACATATTAGTGAGTGAAACGAGACGAAAATAAAGAAAAACATTCCCGCAGTAAATCCATAATTTTTATTTGAATTCGTTAAAAATATCTTATAAATATTTGTTAATCACATTTAGCTGTCGTTTTACGAGCCGTTTTCAACAAGCTCATAAAATTCGAAGTGTACACGGTTTGACAAGATCTTTTCAATGAGTTCATAAATATGGCATTAATTGTCGCTAAACAAGATGTTTTAAATAGGTTCATATAAAAACATGTAAATTTATTGCGTTCGAGTGTTTCTCTCTTTTTCTTCTTTCATTTCATTTAGAAATATGCATCGAATATTAATCATACACTGTTCGAAAGAGGAGAAAATTTTCTATTAAATAGCTAGTAAGAGAATATTCGTTTCAAAACATATTTGTCAAAGAATTATAGAAAACAATATTTTGCGCCGTTTTTCCAAATTTCACGAAAAGTGCAGATTCTTTTTAAGAGTCTCTCTTTTTTTTCTGTTGCGTTCTTCCGTCTACCAATTAGTTAGAAAAAGAAAATTTATATGATTCGAAAGAGGAAAAAATTCTATATCTTCTGATAAAATAAACTTTTCTTTCAGCATGCCTGTATCGAAGAGAAATAAGTACTAACACTTGTCCCATTACTTTTGCATCATATGTTATTTATGCATTAAGACTAATGGATATATGAGAATAGCATAGAGAAATCAGCTGCGACACACGAAAGTGTTGGGAAAATATTATTTTCATACGCAAGCAACATCGCTCTATAAAATACAACAATTTATTTTTGTTTGATTATTAAATTCTTTTTCATTGATCTTTTTCTTCTAATATTATGAAAGCTGTGCTATTCATTCACACATCGATAATAACACCGATACTATCCCATAATGACTCATTTTTGTTCCTTCCCATCGTGACTATCATTCTCCATACAACCTTACAAGTATTTACGGGATATTCTCGTGCAGTCTGACTGATTCATGTATTCGATACTGTTCTCTTGCCTACTTTTTTTCCCTTTGATTTCAGTATTTAAAACGAGAAAAAAATTGCAAAGCGACGAGTAATTATTATACATAGAACGCAAAAAGCACAACGTATTCATTCGTTTAACTTACCATGGCTGAAACAACAACGACAAACACGTTGGTCGTACCAGTGACAGCTGTGAAAACTCCTATTGTTCGCTTCGATGTCGATCAGCAATGTCCTATTCAGTATGTTACTGTCTACAATGATCGTGCAGAAGTGACACGAATCCTACGACACCATTTCGATGTCGAAGGTACATATGATCTCGTGCTCGGTGGTTTTTCAACCTTTGTGGATGAAAAATCGTTTCGTGTCAGTGGTGGAACGGGTAAAGCTTGCACCATTCTTGAAGTCTCATATCAAATACGACATGAAGATGTTGCTCCGTCATCGTATTTGACGTCTCTTGATCATCTTCAAAGTGAACTTGAAAACGTGCAAACTGACATAGAGACTCATAAGCGCGAATTGGTACGACTTATGAAACAACGAGAATGGCTCAATGGACGCTCAGTCAAATTAATGAACCAAGATGGACCTTGCTCGACCAATGATATGGAGAATATGCAGCAATTTCTTGAGTTCTATCACAAAATACTATTGAAACTCGATGATGAAACAGTTCACGAAGAAGAGGAAGTCAAGAAATTGAATGCTTGTCAAGAAGCTTTGAAATCTCAAATCAATCAACATGGCGCTGCAGCTCAAGCGTGTCGAAGAAAGACATGCCAAGAAGTGACGATCACAGTTCATATCGCTAGTGATAAAATTGATGTAGCACTCGAAGTTTCCTATTTGATTGGAAATTGTTCTTGGAGTGCCAGTTACGATGTTCGTGTCAGTAGTGTCGAAGCAGATCGACAGCGAACACAGTTAACGTATTATGGAATTATTGTAAGTAGTCGAATTTTCATTGAGTTACAAGTGTTTCATGGATCTTGCTCATCTTTAGGTAAATAAAAGTCAAGAGAACTGGGTTGATACAAATGTATCGTTGTCTACTGCAACAGTCTTTAGGTGGAGCTCCACCGAAACTGAGCACACTAAAAATCAATTATTACAAACCACCGGTTACTTACTCCAAGCGGACTCTTCGAGCAGAGACAGTGGATATGGACGATTGTGTACATGTACAGTGCTTATTAGATGTTCAGAGTGAGTCTATTAGGCGCTCAAAAGGTGCATTCAAGTCATATCGTGGTAAATCATCACTCGCTGATGATTTGACCATTGAAAACCAAGATGAAGAATATGCTAAGGCACAAGTCAATGTTCTCGCCTCTAAAACTGAAGCTAGCATGTCTAGTACCGGTTTTGTTATTCCTCGTCAATCAACAATCGATTCTGATGTAAATATTCTATCCAGTGATGTCGAATGTTTTTGTATATTATTTATTTCTACTAGGGAAAACCACACAAGGTCACAATTGGTATTCTAGATCTTACTTCAACATTCATATATACGGTTGTGCCAAAAATGTCACTTCATGCGTATCTCAAAGCGTCAACAGTGAATACTTCCGATAAGCCACTTCTTGCTGGACCTGTATCTGTATTTATGGACAATAATTTTGTCACACACAGCTCAATCGATAATGTTTGTGTTGATGACACATTCGATCTTCCATTGGGCATAGATATCAGTGTCAAAGTGGAAATACAAACCAGTCAAGAAAATGGTTGATACTCAAGGTCTCATCTCGAAAGTACATCATGAGACGATACGTCATGAGACAAAGATTGTGAACACGAAATCAACCGAGATCACAGTGTTCGTCTACGAACAAGTGCCTCTATCTTCGGATGAAAAGATCAAAGTGAAGTTAATCACACCTGATCTACGGCAAAAGGCTTACGCACGAAACTGCACGGTGAAAATGAACGATAGAAACAATTTGGAATGGAAATGTGTATTGCAGGCGCATGAAGAATTTCAATGTACATTAGAGTATACACTCGAATGGCCAAAAGAAAAACATGTGGAATTCAAAGAAGAGTAGCAGTGAATTTCTTAGTGTATGTGTTCTAATAGAACAGAGTGCAATTCTCAATCAGTGTCGTAAACAAATTAATGCTTGAAATAAATTTATTGAGCACCAATATGTATTTTTCAGTATTGAACTAGAGTGCATTGGATACTTGGATGTTGAAATAGACATTAATTTTTCTCAGTCACTCGAAAAATGATTTTGTTTCATGAAAGTGACTGTAGAGAAATTTGAGAGAAAAAGTATTTTATTTGTTGAAGATTTGATTCCAGAAGTCTCTCAGTCAGTGGAAAACTGACTGATGAACTATTGTTTCATGTCGTCCTCGAATGAGGCTGTGTGATTCCCATGTAAAAAAACGAAAACCCATTTTGAAGTACTTCAAGTATTAATAAAGTAAAATAAATTAAATTTTCACACCATTTTTCACTTCTTTTAGTGAATTTTGCTATTTTTTCACTTATGAACTTTGTTATTTTAATTTTTACACTTTTTAAAAATACTTTGTTGTACTTTTGAGCCTTCAGAAAGAAATTCGAACGACTTTCAATCTTCTTGAAAGTACTGAATAGTAATTTTCGAAATCATAAAGTTTATTGTGTTAATTTTTGTACTTTATAAAATATTTAATTGTAACATTGGCCTAGAGAGAAGTAATTTATAGGACTCTTTTTGCATTTAGAGAAGTGAGTTGTAGTTGTCATTCCTTTTCAATCGATAGAAAATTAGAAATTATGGAAAGTACTCGGGATTTAATATGGCTTTAGTTGCATTGAGGTACGGTTCAAATACCATAATAGTAGTGTCACATACTTGTAGAGCCCTACATACTTAAAAGTGTTTTTACAGAGAGATTTACAAATATGATTATTTAGCATGGTACAATAGAATTAGTATCCGTGGAACTCGGTGGTGAATAATGCTTTCCCGCTTGTTAGCTATTATCTTTGAGAGATAATAATACTTAGAATTCAATTGTTCTCTCACTCGTGAAAAACATTTGTTTCAGATAAAATTCAGATAAAATTTGTTTAGATGTAAAGTGTTAATAGAATCTTACGTTTACAAAAAAAGTACCATTCTCAGAATCAAAGTAGAAAATAATTGATTTTTTTGTCTCGCGTTTTCACTAAGTGTACTCCTTTTTTTGATCATTTTTGTTTCTCAAAAAGGTATAGGTAATCAACACGAAATTTTTATCACAAACAGAGTATCGTGAATATAGAAATAACTAACAAGTCTTAAAGAAAGTTTTCTCGATTTTTTCGAGAAAATCCTGGGTTTCTACGAAAATCAAAAAAAAACATATTCGTTTTTATCTGAAGAAAATATTTTCAAGTTTCTGTGATAAACATGTTCAACCATACCGAATACAGTTTGAAAGGAACTTGCAATCTGGCAAGGTTCGGTCGTATAGAAAATGAGAGTTTTCTTGATAAAAAAAACGCGAAACGATTCTTCAAAAATTTCTTCTTCAACACGTTCCTCCATCCTCTTCGCTGGATATATCTGTGGTAAAAGTTTCAAATACATTGATGATATCGTTGTCAAAAATCGAAAATGTTCCAAAGAGAGCAAAATATCATGCAATTAGTTCTTTTTATTAAATGACGAACATTTGAATCTTAATAGATATGTACATATGAAAATGAAATGCAAAATTAAGAGTAATTTTTGTTTGTTCTTCATGTTTCTTTTATAGACTTCTGAAGAGTGACGAAACTATTCATTATTTTCTACACTCGAGATTTTCTGTACGTAATGATATCCAACATGATAGTATTAGTATTTCTGTTTTTGAAATAAAAAAGTGAAGGAGTATTTCAATCTTTTCCTCTTCTTTTTAACAATGAGAAAATTATCATATTTATTAAAACGTAAATCATGTTTGGAATAATTATAGTTTCCCGATTTTAAAATATTTCCGATGAAGAATATCCTGTTAAAAGATGCTAACACTTGGTAGGCGTGTAATAGTTCTTCATATTGTCTATCTGTAGATCTTCAGGTGAAAAATGCCTTATTCTGAATGAATATGTTTTAGAATCTATGAAAATAACAGAACAAAAATAATATATGAATTGACATCAGTGCTAGAATGATATTTTGTGGTTAAATCCTATAAATCGATATTGCTGTTACGATAATTAATTGCTGTTTGGAAATATAAAAGAAGATTATGTGGGTAATAACAGTAGCAATTCTAAAGAATCATACATTCTGTCACTGATTGTGTTCGATATTGAAAAAACTTCAGACCTATTCTTACCTTCTGATAGCATCGACTCAAGAAAATAACGGAACTCTAACATTAAAAATAATCATTGGTTCATGTAGTTTACTTTTTCTTTTTCTAAGATTGAACAAACCATCATATCCAATTAGTAACAATCTAGAATTATGGCTGGTGTTACTTCCTTTCAATTGAAAGAGTAAGAAATAATTTATTATTTATTCTCGTTTCATACTTAATCAATAGATTATTTTGCAAACAATAAATTTACTCTTTATATACTTTTACATGTAAACGAATGTTATAATTTCGCTACATCAATATAAATATACTTTTATTTTCTTGAGATTTCATTTTGAAAAAAACTATATAGTCATGTTTAAATTTGTATTACATTCACGATCTAGATAGAAATTTACCAATTTATTTTATATTCAATAGCGTGCAATGTCTAATTCATACAATATATATCTTTTGTTTTTATAAAAAAAATAGAATAGATGTGTTTTCAACCGAAAAGAAACATCGGAAATAAAAACAAAGACTACAAGAATACGAATCCATATAATATACAAGACAAACCAAGAGCACATAAAGCACCGCAATATTTTGAATATAATCTATTCGAAGGTATACATTGATTGACATTTTTTTGTTGCTTTAAGTTGACATTTGAAATTGATTAGCCCACCATGATTCAACATCTTTTCGTCCATAATTAAAATTACTTGTTTGCCATGAACGCCATGGATAAGACTCCTCACTACTTAAAGTCAAACTAGCATTTTGTTGTAATTGTTGTGTAACGGGTCGTCGTGCTCCTTTATATTCAACAGATGTATCACGTATACCTGCTTGTGTTCGATAGTTTGAATTCTAAAAAGGAACAAAACGATATTGAATAAAAAGGGAATAAATAGATATTCTACATTGAAATCATTCGAAGGTGTTGGTAATGTAGTTGTTCTATCAAGTTTCTTTTTGACAACATCTTTTTGTATTTGCTGTTGTCGATCATCAAGACTTTTCACTCGTCGTTCTTCTTCATGGCCCACATTATCTGTTGTTCTTTTTAATGATTCACTTGTTGTTATTGCTTGTGCTTCACGAAAGAATGCTAATTCATTACTACGTTGTAAATTTTTAATAACATTTGTTTGATCTTTTGCTTTAATGCGTTTTAAACATTTATTAAGCCAATTACGTATAGTTAATTTTGCTACTTCTTCTTCAATTAAATATTCAAGTTCTTCGCGCGCAAGTAGTTCTTCGAATTGTAATGATTTACGTATATCAACCGAACGATAAGCTAACATACTATTCAAAGAAAAACAAACATTTGTTAGCAAAATCCCTGCGAGATTAAAATGACAAGCAGGATGTAGTTATTGTTACTAATCTTTGGATGATTAACTTATTTTATTTATTATGAGCTACATTTATGTATCATCCTTTTACTTAATCTTCCAGAAGTGCAATAAGGAAATATATAGAGTGTTCCAAAAGTCTTCTAAAAACGTTTTTGACGAAACATTCAGTTTTGTACAAATATATATTGGATCATACATTGGCAATGACTTGAAGTAGAAATCCTTCATCATAAATGAAGAAGAACAGTATGAAAAAGCAAAGCTACATTAAGTAAAATGTGCACATGTTTTGATGTTCGACAATTAAAATTACATACCTATTAAACATTTTCAAGACTGAAGAAAATCACATGTTTCTTCAAATACATGGTTTTTGTTACGCAAGTTGCGATTTTTTTCTGATCGGCAGCACTACTACACGTCGCAAGTTGTGAGATTAGATATCATATTGTCGGTATTTCCATAGAAAAAATTCGAATGATGCTAAGTAATACGAACATAGAACTCATTGAATAGAATCTATTCTTTAAATCTATCATGAAAGGAAAAATGAAATTTTGATATTGGTGTATTTAGTCGTTAACATTGGAGAAAATCTCAGGTTGTTGAATTATTTACTCAACTCTGTCAGGGTTCAATATGCTATTGAACAAACTTTGCAATCAGGTATAATACTTGATGTCGATAGATTTTCACTATCAACATAAACTTCAACAATGCTTTTTTATGTCATTAGTACAAGACGTCATTGAGAGAATTACTTAGTTCAATGTTTATTTAACATTTCTTTCTCCAATTTTGCGTGCATCTTTTTTTTCACAATCTTCGATGATTCAAATTTATCCACTAACAGAATAATTTCTATTCTAGTGTTCATAGGTACAGTCATTTTACATATAAAAATGAAAATTAATTTTTATACTTACTTAAGTACATCATGAAATGTGACATCATTTCCATTATTTAATTTTTCAATTTCATAACACATATGTTTATAGAGTTTTTCTGCATCCACTTCTAATCTTCCCTAAGAAATACGTTTTATTTAAAAATTTATCTTATTCAATTAAATATTTAATTTATATTTACTCGAAGTAATCGTAATAAAAATTTTACACGTCGAGCTGGTATAATACCTTTACGTCCTGTATCAATCATATTCCAAACCGTTTGAAAATGACGAATATCGGTATAACTAAGTAATGCATCTTCTTCATTGGAATAAAATAATGAAAAGTTTTCCATAATAATAGCAACAAGAAGATTTAATACGATATAAGTGATTATAATATAAAACGAACAAAAATAAAGTATCGATGCTGTTGAATTTCCACAATCACTTTCCCAATAGGAACCACCACGTGTACATCGTGGTGGTACAACCATACAATCATGCATTATTTTATTCCAATCTTCACCAGTGACAATTCTCATTAGTAGAACAATTGCATTAGGTACTGTTTTAAAATTAGCATGTCGTCCAAGTTCAGGGCCAAATTTAACACAACCAAAGAGTATAACACCAGCAAAGGCATATACTAACATGAGTAAAAACATACCAAGAATAATAAAAAATGATTTAAAGAATGATACAATAATAGTTAACATAAGCATTTTAAGAGTTGCCTAAGAAAGCAAAAACAAAATTATAATAAAAAAGTTTTAGAATTTTTTTTTTTTGTTTGGGAATAGGGGTGTCAACTTTGCGTTCCGTTCCTAGGAACGGGAAACGCCACCCCGTTCCCCGTTCCTAGGAACGAGGAACGCTACCCCGTTCCCGTTCCTGGGAACGGGGAACGCTTCCGCGTTCCTCAGCGTTCCGTTCCTAGGAATGGAAACGCTATATACGTTTCTTTCACTTTTAACAGAAATTTTACTAATTCACCGAAGGAAAGCCAATTTCATAAAAATTAGGGATGTTAACGTGCCCCGTTCCCCAGCGTTCCGTTCCTAGGAACGGGAACGCTTGTCAAAATCGCATTTCCACGCTATATTTCAACAAGGCGAGGTCTCTAGACATATCCACTTTTCTTTTTACGTTTGAGTGTTCAGCGTTCCCCGTTCCCAGGAACGGGGAACGGGGTAGCGTTCCCGTTCCTGGGAACGCGGAACGAGGTAGCGTTCCCCGTTCCTGGGAACGCGGAACGGGGTAGCGTTCCCCGTTCCTGAGAACGCGGAACGCTGAACACTCAAACATAAAAAGAAAAGTGGATGTGTCTAGAGACCTCGCCATGTTGAAATATAGCGTGGAAATGCGATTTTAACAAGCGTTCCCGTTCCTAGGAACGGAACGCCGAGGAACGGGGAACGCTGACACCCCAAATTGGGAACAACATAGTTAGTAAAGTGGAAGAAATGATCAATTAGTGGTAAATCAGCTGTGATAATAGATTTAAAGATCATTATATAAAATTTACTCTACAGCTAATTAAATCAAAGGGTAAATATAGATATTGAAATACATTATAGTATGATTCACTTGTTTTTTCTTCTCTTTTTCGTTTCTTGATAACATGAATGTGATGAAATACTTACAACAACAGACAGCATTGTAGCTATTGAATAAAAATGTGATCATCTATCATCTGATAGACTATTACAAATCGTAGAAGTAAATAAAATTAACTGCAAATTGATCCGAACGATTCTATGCGTTATAATACTAATTAGATGATCATTGACATTCAAAAATATCAATATTAACTCTTAAATAAATCCAACTAATGATGCAAACTTGCACTTCAAGTTCTAATAAAAGAAATTAATCGAGACTTATTGATAGATAAATAAATACCTTCACTCAGTTACAAGACTGGCAGAACAAATGACATAATTCAACACAACTAACGAGCTACCGATGTATATATACATCAATGATCATAAACAAATGCAATAAAGGAAGAAGATATTAGTATAGAACACTTTTGTAACACACATGGTATATTTTGGTTGACTTATGAAAGTTTACTAGAAATCTTTAGGAATTCAAGATTCCGTTCTTTTTTTCCTGCATTAAAAACTGATAATTCAAGTACTGATGATTTCATCTATTGTACTGATCACTTAAATCGGAGTTATTTTTTACTTACATGTTTTCCAGCAATAGTAAAAAATCGAAGTATAATGACAGTAAAGCCAAATGTATTACTAAATTCTTGCTAGAATAATCAAACAAAAAAATTCATTTTATTTTCATGAAAAGAAATTTTTGTTTTGGTTTTTCTCACAAGTTCAATTTTGCTCATAGAAATAAAATTTAATACAATCCAACCAATACCAAGTATAGTTACTAATAAATCAAAACGATTACGACGTGATTGCCAATAACCAACAAAACCAAGTGCAGTACATTTCATAACAGCTTCAACAAGAAATAAAAATGTAAATAAAGATGATATTAATGCTGATATTTGTGTTATGTTTTCATTAGCTTTCCATGGTTTATAAAGTAGTGCACAATTAAGTAGAACAAGTACAGCAGAAGATTTTTTAAATAATCGATTTTGTGTTATATCAAATACATATGAACGAAATTTGCTATTTTCTGGTCGAGGTGGTGTACGCAATGGTTGGGCAAGTTTTATACGACCTTTTAAATCCATCCAACGACGTTGATCAACTGTTAATAAGGCCGTTCCCTTAAAATATTTAATTGAAAAATAAAATTTATTCACAATTCAAAAAAAAAACAAAATTACCTTATTTTCTGAATAATTTGCAATAACAACACCAACAAATAGAGTTAAACCAATTAATGTACCAATAAATACAAATATATGAACAAATATAGCATGTTCCTAAAAATTTTTTTCTATCAAATGAACAACAAAAACATAATAATACTTACTGGACCCATACGATCCATAATAATATCACGGATTTCCAGCCATCCTTCAAGTGACAGAACTTCAAAAAGAGCTAACATTGCACTACCAATATAATCAAAATTAAAATTATGTGGATTAGCCCTACAACATAATTTATTTTCAAAGAAAAAACGAACAAAAATAAAATTCATATTACATACCATACACGTGGTACTAACATAGCAGGATCAGCGTCACCAACATTCATTTTTGACACATAAAGTTCTCTCCAAAATGTTCCATGACATAATTTCTAGAAAGTATTATTATTATTTTAATTCAATAATGAAAACATTTTGATTTGACATACTTGATCATTATAATATTTTCGATCATTACAACGAGCTAATTGTCCACCGATGATTTGAACACCATAAATAGCAAAAATAAACATTAATACAACGAGTAAAATTGATACCTAAAAATAATCAAGTTTACCATTTGAAATAGAAATTCTAATATTATTAGTTGATTTTTTGTTTTTGTTTCTATTTTATTACTGAACAATTTATTTCTATTTACATAATGAGTGATTCTGTCTGATAAAGTTTTGTCGTAAAAGTGTGAAAATAGATTGACGAATAGAAAAATCCCAAAGGAATATCTTTCGATAACTATTCAATTCTCTTTTTATTGTATCGAAGGCTAATTGAGTTATTAAATACAATAAATCGATCGTTATTTCATTTTCTCTGGTGACAAGTCTAATCAATTATTCGATGAAAACATTCGGTATCATACGTAGCAGAACCACAATTAGAGCTCATTGATTAAAATTTTTCGGATGATCCAGACACGACAGATTTCAGCTACGAGGCTTAGATATTCTGCTACATGTGTTTCTTGTTACACCAGATTGATAAATTTATGTAGTGCATCGAAATTCTTATACAAACGGCAAGATTTTTCACCGCCTTCGGCAACAAATAGTAACATTTTCGCCTTGAGGTACATTTAGGCAACATAAAACTATACCGAAAGTTGCTGAAAGTTTTCTTTCCCTATAATAGCTAAGCTTATTTATCTAAGAGATATCTTTAATAAAATAGGTAAACACACAAGTTAATTCATTTTTATTTTTATTTTGGTGAACACTGCTGCTTCACGATTATTTTATTTTTTCAATAAAGTCGATCGAAGACTCTTCTTTCAATGTTTGAAATAAAATAGAAACAAATGTTAGAATGTAGTTGAAAATAAGACTTCTTAACTGTTTTTTATCTCAAAAATATACAAAGATTTGCCATCCTTCTCCTTCATATTGTTGGTTTACTATTAGAGATTTCAAGGAGTGTGTTGAGCCTACCTTATAGTTAAAACATCTCGCTACCTATGTTCAGTGATCCTTTTTCACTGATGTTATAAAATATTTTGACTAAATATTTAATAATGTCGCAAAATAAAATTTTAAAACACGAAACAAGTGTTAGCCCAATCCCCATAGACTTAAAATATGAAACACGATTGATTTAGATCTCAAGTAGCTTGATAAGCTGCAGCTTAGAAATTCCAGCATACTGATATGTCCATGCTGAAAGATGTTTTCAGTTTTCTGTGATTAAGTCTATCACAGACTGCGATAGACAAAGACATTGTCACAAAAGTAATTTTTCAATTCTTACCAATAAAATTTCTTTAAATCCTCGACAAACTTCATAAACAACTTTTCTCATGTCGGGTACTAAAATAAAAATTCGTAAAGGTCGTGTTGATCGAAGAAGCATCAGAAATTGAGCAACACTATTTGCTGGAACATTTCGTGGTAACCAACAAAGAAAAATAAGGCCAACAAAAAAAACTGCAACATCAACCGCACCACCAATATCTCGAATTAATGCTTTTGGTGTAAAAAATAAACCATGCGCAAAAATTTTTAATGTTAACTCAACACTCATAAAAATAACAAATACATATTCTGCTATCTACAAACAAAAAGAAAATGAATAAACAAATATAAGAAAAATAAAATATAATAATCAATTTATTTACTTGTAATGAAGGTCGATCAACAACTCGATTATTAGGTGTTTCAAATGACATACTAACTGCTGATAATATTGTTACAAGTATCATAATCCAATCAAGATATGTAACCAAACCAAGAAATTTACTAGAATAAAATAATCGACTGATTTAGAAAAAAAGAAAAAGAAAAAGAAATAAAATAACTTACTGTCCTTGTTTATATCGACTAATTTTTGATTCTTGTCCAAGACGATCTTTTGTATTAAGATCATAACGAGCTTCGACAAGAAGTTGACAAAATTTTCGAAAATTACTTTCACGTGCAATTGTAAATAGAGGTGTATCAAAGTATGGATGATTTTCACGTAGATCTTCTTCTTGTTGATTTCTAAACAAAAAATAATAATAATATAGGATTTATTTAATTCAAAATCATTCGTTAACAACATAACTTCGCAAAATTAGAACATGTTATACTTCGGAATCATAAAAGTTCCTAGAGACAACTTTTACACCTTACATGCCTGTTCAATTATTCGAAATACTTAAAAATAATCAGTTCACAAGACCTTTGTTCAGAAGAGTTATCAGTAAAAAAAACTAACGTCCATGACGTCACATAAAAAACAGAACATAGACAAATAACTCTTGCAAAGAATTGAAGTTAAATGAAAGATGGACATCCCCTGTGTTGCCTGCAATGGCTTATTTACCGTTTTAATTCAGCTTGTTGTTTTCGATATTGAAATACTTTAATATCATAATCATCTTGATTTCGACCATGTAATGCACCAATATCTCCATTTTCACGGATAACATGTACTGGTTTTGGTCGATAACCTGAACGACGCATGGAATTTCTATTTAAATATTAAGAAAAAAAATTCAATGAGAAACTTAAATCACTCAATGATTTGTTTGTCATTTTTATCCTACTTTCGATCAAGTCGAATTTTATTTTGTTGTACAAATATTGATAATTTATTATCAGCTATACTTGCTAAATGTACTTGACTAGCATCACCACTCAATAAACGTTGATTACTTGCATTTCTATAATATTTTTTTAATTATGTATACCGAAAAAGAAACAAATAATTTAAATATACCTGATAATATTGGTTACAGCTGTTCTTTTCATAGTTTCACCTGTTGGTCGATATTCTGGTGTATGTAATGTTTTAACTGTATGTTTTTTATTATATACATTCATTGAAAGTTCAGGTGGATATGAATAAATATCATCCTGATTAAGAAATTGACGCATAAAACTATCACGAATTTTTGGAATCATAAAATCATGTGGTAAACGTGATAATTCAATCATTTGAGGATGATCAGGAAAACGTTCAAATACACGCAAACGCCATGGCAATTTTTGTTGAGTTTCTGCACTAGCTTCACGGGTTTTTAACTAAAACAAAAAAATATCAATCATTATATTTGATAAAAGTTCTAATTACAACCAAATGTTTGGAAGATTTTTGTACAAGACATTTGTGTACCTTTGACCTGCTAGAAAGTATTTTCAATGAGTCAAAAGCTATGAGTTAGACCGCTGGTTTCGAATATGGGCTCAGGAAATTTGTTCAAGAGTAATGAAGGACTTTTTGAAAGGCTTAAAAACATTATTTTCAATTGTGAATCAGCAAGGCTTGGTTTACTCTCTAAGTCCGTTTTTGAACATATCAAAAATTATGGAAGTTAATCGTTTTGTAGAGTGGATATTTTTCTATAATTTGCCAATTATCTCTAATTAATATATTGTACTGAGAATTTTTCTATAAGCATATGTTAATAGTCAAGGTTTTTAATTTATACTCTAACGAATGGCACCCACTAAATGAAATAAAATCATTTTCTTCTTTTGTTGGGTCATTTCAATGCGTTTTCCGAAAAGCGTTCTATAGCTACTCTATAGAGAATTTTGTGTTCTGTGCTGCCACGAACTTTTCGAGGTTCCTATTGCTATCGTTCATAAAAAAAAAGCTTGAACCTAGTGTCTAGCGATACTTTTACAGATATTTTGAAAAAAGTACGAATTCAAAAATGAAGCTTGGCGCTTGCAACAGCTACTTTCGCCTTGTCGAATGTAAAATTCAATTCTGAATTAGGTTGAATCAATTGTAAATAATCACAATCACTTAATCCTATCAGACAATGGTTTTTTTGTCAGAATATTTTTCTTGAAAATATTTCTTCTAAGATTCGGAAGCATATCACAAGATGCCAAATTTTGTTTTATATTTGAAATATCAGAAAAACATTGTGAAAAAAATTCGTGTTGCTGTTTTCTGACCGTTGTAATTAGATTATTAAGCATGAGTTCAGATTTTGAATTTTACTCCAACAATAGCAACCTGATAAGCTAACGCAAGATTTTTCCAAAGCAAAAAAACTCTCTATTGAATGATTTTTTGAAAGTACATCTGAGAGATTCAAAAAAAACGAAAATGCCTTTATCTTATCTGATCGGTCCTATCCTTTATATTTCTTATATCCACCAGAGAACGTTCCTCTGTAGATTATATTATCATTATTTAGACAACCTTGATTGATTTTTATATTTCAGATATACGTGTTTTTTTGCCTTTTTTTGTTTCGTTGTTCTATTGTCGTGCAACACATCTTAGTACTCGTTATTCTATTTCCTAATAATCTGTCGAACCCTCACATTTATTTTTGTTGGTATTTTCACCAGATGTGAAATAACCTTATAGGTCAACTGTAGTACATCATCAATATCTGCATTCATTATAAAGCTATCAATCTACGTCAAAAACATAGCTTGTATCATTATTACTCTTTCTAGTTAATAGTATACTTGCCGATGTTCTAACTAGTTTCTTGATTTCTAAGCTCTAACGATCTATTTATAATCATTAATTTCGTCTATAGTAAAATTTTTGAAAAAGAACCTAATCTATAACTTAATTTTCATTTTGAAAAAAAAACCAAACAAAACAAAATAAAACAACATGTAAATTACAAACCTGTTTAATCATTTTAACGTCTTCGTCAAGTTCAAGATTGTCCAAAATGACGGCAACGAAAAGTGAAAGTACAATCTAATTTAAAGAAAAAAAAATCTTATATCATAAATAATAACACATTAAAATAAGCAGCAACTTTAAACATAAAACAAAAACAAGACACAATACAATATCTAACAAAATATTTTCCATTTTGCATACCAAATTAATAGCAAGATGATAAACAATAAAATAAATAGCAACAAATGGAGCTACATTTTGAATACTATATAACATTGTATAATGCATCACATCAACCCATCCTTTTTGTGTTAAAACTTGAAACATTGATATAAATGCCTATATATGAATCAATCAGCAAAAAAAACGCTAATCAAATTTATTCAAAATGCATTTCAAACACACAAAAGAAAACCTTCTGTTTCTCACACATGCTCATGCTTAATATTATTTCATTCTTTCGGAAAGAACTTACAGAATTAGTTAATAAATGAAAAAAGATAAAGAAAAGTGCTGTTAAACATAAAAAGAATATTCCAAATTCATAAACGTTGTCCATAGCTGAATACATCACTTCTGTCCAACCATCATTCATAGCAATACGAAACATAGACATAAATGACTGAGAAGTATTTTATTTTTGTTTTTTGAATAAATACAACATCGAAAAAAATCAAAAAAACTTACACGTGGAAATGTTTCAAATTGTTTAAGACCTTTAATAAAACAAAATAATTGCATACTAATCGATGATGTTATTAATAATAAACACATTGTAAATAAAATTAAACTACCAAGCTTTTTACCCGGACCAAAAATCTTAATTAATAAATAAAATGAATAGAAATTTTTGTTTTTGACAAAGCAAAAATCCAATTTTTGTTTTTTACTTTATTAAGAAAATCTTCAAGTAAAGGGCTTGATTTAAGTAGACGAGCAACACGTAGAACTTGAAAATATGTAAAACCACTTCGATAAAACGATGGAAAACAATGAAGAGTTGTTCCAACAGCGAGCATAAATTCAAATTTAAATATTGATCTTCGAATATAATTTTTAAAACCCATTGAAAAGATTTTAAAAAGTGCTTCCAAATCAAAAAATAAAGTAAATAATGTCTAAAATCAATGTCATCGAAATTTCTTTTTTGATTCTTATTTTTAAACAGAAAATTTTATTTCTACCTCAATTTTATGATAAAGTTCACGATTTTTTTTATCATGTTGTTCATTATGTGTATGTTTAATAGTTGCCGTGAAGATTGTATTAGCAAGTACAACAATCATAACAATTGTTGTAAACAGTGGAGATTGTGCAATTTTTAAAAAGATAACTGGTGCTACACCTTTCTTTTTATTTTCATCTATATTGACTAATTTTAATGTACTATCATCAGCTTTTTGAAGTACCTATATGAAAATAGTGTTTAAATTTGAATTTACAATAAGATTGTATTTACTTTTGTTGCTTCAATATCTGATGGTGCTCCTCTTGAACCCCACATTTGTTGGAATTGAACACGAATTTCAGCGAATGTTTCAATAATAACGGCAATAAATACATTCTAAAATTCAATTGTCTTTTTGGTCATAGAATTCAACAAATTAGTCTTTTGAAAAATCTTCTAATTATTCAAAAACTGCTACATATTCATAGAAAGTTACACGATGGAAAAGAAAATATGTAGTTCGATATTTTTTATGACTGTACGCAAAATTGAATAAATAATATTAACAATCACTCTTGACCTGTAACCTTCCAGAAAAACTTTTCTCTATCTTCAAGAGATTTCTAAACAACTTTGCCTGATATTAAATCTAAAACAGACTTATATTCCATGTTCATAGACAATAGTTTTAAATCTTTATGAAAAACAAAATTTCTTATTTTATAGACTACTTAATACTTACTTTGACGAGCCATGCCAGAAAAAAAATTAATGTAATAAAATAAAAAAATGCACGCCATGATGGAAGACTATCAATAGCTCGATACATAAGAAATACCCATCCTTCTTGACTAGCTGATTCATAAACGGAAAAAAAACTAGTTGCCAATTCATCAAAACCATTATAACCACGTAAATTTCGTTGAATTTCAATTTTTTTACAAGTAAAATTTTCTGGACAATGAAAACCATCTTTTGTTGGCGAACAATATGTATCAGGTATCATTAAATCTGACTTTGTCACGTTACTTAAACAAAGAAAAACATAAACAAACAAAATAAATTAAAGCAAGTAATGAAATTATTTTTTCTTTTGATACTTTAAATTGGTACCGTTTCTAACACAATGGAATGTGAGTGATCCAAAAAACTGTACACCTAATATGGCATATAAACTCATAAAGAATAGAAAAAACACTGTTACATTATAAATTTGTGAACTCGAACGTCTAAAATAATAAACAAACAAATAAAAAAATAATCGTTTTTGTATTTAATAAACATACTGAAGAATAGATTTAATCTGGCTTTTAGGTAATTCAAATTTGAGAAATGTTTTGAGAACTTTAATAAGAATAAATGGACGTGGTGAGCGAATTAATGTATAATATGAATATTTAGGTATAATACCAATTAATTCGAATGTCTATAAAACAAAAAGAAATATTAGAAATTATGTATATGAGAAAAAAAATTACAATACAAAAAGTTTACTTGTATGATAATAGAAAAATAGATGTTTAAAACCATAATAGCATCAAAATGATTCCATCGATCACGTAAATAAGATGAATCACCAATTAATATTCCTCGAGTTTTCATTTTGGCAGCTGCTTCAATTGTTAATATAATTGCACAAGTTATATCGATGATAAATGTTGTATATTGAAGAAATGGATAATATTCAAAAGTTTTTGATGTATTCATACATGTTGAAATAAAACTTAAAAGACCAGTAAGACGAAATAGATATTTAGCTAATGGTTTATTCGTCCATTCAAGATTACCACCCGTTGAATCTTCTTGGTTATAATCCATTAATGGAACAAAATCGCTACGGAAACTTTGCTTTCTCATCAATGTTATCATCGATGAAATGGCAGCGCCAGCCGATGAGGCTGCTGCTGCCATTCTGTTTTCTTATATTATTTGTCTACAAGAGAAAGACAAAAAGAAGAAGCTCGACCCATTGATGATTAGTAAAATATACAAAACAACGAGAAAGACAACAAAATGAATTGTATACCAGCTCATATGGACAGAAGAAAGATATATTCTGGCTCGTGATTTTCTATTATTTGTTATTCAGAATAATATGCAGAAAGCGTTACAAGGATATGAAATAAACGAGAATCTCTCTTGAGTCAAGTAGCACATGCTGCCGTTGTCGTCCTTTGACAACTATAGAAAATGATGAGGACATCGTTTTTGTTTCTCGTCTTCTTCTTCTTCTTTTTTTTATTTGCTTCTTTGCAAACAAGAAACTGCAATGTGCACTAGATAATTTTAGTCTTATTCGTCAATTGACTTTTCTCTTCTTCCTACAATCTTCTTTTCTATTCTCTATTTCCTCTTAGACGAGCCTTCTGGGATATTACATCACGTAGAATAATGTCGACTAGTACGCAAGGGAGAATTTTAAATTGAATCTTTATGCTACTGACAACAGGAAGTAACTTGTCTCGATATATTGCAAGTTACATGTTCTTCATTAATAGTATGTAGAAAAAAAAGGCTAACATAATGAGCTGATCGGTACTAGGAGGTCAACCAAAACAATCATTGTGTTAAACATACATTTGACGTGTCTATCATGTTCTCATGTCGTATCTCATTACTTTTTTCTGATATTTATATACAAATATATATATATATAAATATATGTAAAAATATGTGAATCGATTGGGATCGAATTACAAGTTGCTTTCATAGTCTCATTTTAATACATAATATTATATGTTCGTAGGGTTTTTATTTTATTTCTGTGATTGTTCTAGTACTGATATGACTGATTGATGTAAAATCTCATAAAACAAACAAAACAATAGAATTAAGAAATAAAACCACAGTTATAGCAAACAGTAAAGTTTTGTTGCTTGATATATATAATTAATAAACATAGATATAGATAAAGATATAGATATTTACAAACAACGATTATAGTGAGAGTCATAAACGAAGAAAAAGGAGAAAGGAAACGAGAAAATAAGGAAGAGTGTTAATTTTCTTTCATGTAACTAGTTATTTCCATTTACTTTCTCTTGTCCGGAACGTGCTACATCTCTTGAAAGAAGAAACGTGAAAGTAACTGATGAACAACTTATATAAACACATCCATAACATGCAGAAACAACTATCTATCTTTCTATCATCATTTCTACTCGTCTGTAATGTTAGTTGAAGAGGCATTACAAGTAAAAGAAAATAGATGTGAACGTGCATGCATGTAACAGAAAATGCAATAAGACCAACCAGATTCTCTCTATCCTACGAGTGATGGCAATTACACGACGATAGTATTGAGAGAACAAGAAGAAGACGAGCACAACATAGATTGTATCTGAATAGTAGCCGTGGATTGTGTGAAGAGGAACGAAGAATAGAAGAGATAAAGAAGAAAATCTATCTGTCTCTCGTGACAAAGTTACTAGACAAATCTAAAAGATGGATAGACGGAAAAATTACAGAAATATAAAGTTGCAGTTCGATGAGGCAGAACACTATTTATATCTATATCTATATATATATATATATATATACACAAAAACGTATGTTAGCAATGGAGCAATGCTTATATTGAACTCTTCATTGTTTTCTCATTTTCCTTTTCTTTTGTCACTATTCTACAAAGTATTACTTATAACCGAAATAGAATACTATTGTAAATTAATAAGTTGAACCAGGCATGAAATATATATCGTTGCCTGTTTTTTAAGTCTTTGCAAAAAGAAAAAGTAGCATACTTTTTTTTTTCTCTAGACATAAAATAAACTTGATAATAATGATTGAATACAACTTTGAAGATTTTATCTTTGAAGTTAAAATAAAAAATATTTAAAAGCTAAATAACTCATTTTTTTTGCTGTCTTTGTTCTCCGAGTTTTTTTCTTTTGCTTTCCAGATGTTATTCATCCATTCATTCCATTGTTGAACAAACCACTAGTGTTGATTGCATAGAAATTTTGCGTCGACAATTAACGAGTACGAGAAAAAGAAAAAAAGGAAATACGCATCAATCATTTTCTTTTTTGCCGATGATAGCTAAGCAAAGAGTCAAATGTTAAACATAATCGAAGAATCAATTCTTTACGCCGTCTTTATACAATGTAATCGGAATGCATCACAATATGTTTTATTATCATAAATATTGCACAAATCAATGTCTATAAATAACAAAATCTTTCATTGTATTTGTCTGAATAAATAAAGAATAATATTAGAATATTCATTATTGATGACTATATAATGTATAATATTGAACTAGATTCTAGTGACATCTGTATGACTTGATTGATGACTGGTAGGTTACAGTTAACCAACAATTGGATTAGGAACGAAACAAAAATGTACATAAAGCATGTATTATTATCTGCATAGACTACTTCATCTTCCGTAAAATTACTACTTTTGTCTTTTAGATCTTTGTAGATATAGAGAGCGCACAAAGAAAAAAAATGCGGTGTATAGCTGCGAATCGATCGGTACTTACAGCACTTGATCAAAATACAACACTTGCCGACCATGACACAAGTAATTGTACAGTAACAGCAAATGATATTGATAGTATGGATATAATCCAATTTGCGGATGGTTGGTATTCATATCCTGATCTTAATACATTTGACAGTGATTTACTTCTTGCTACACTTACACTTCGAGTAAGTACTTAAGTATATACATTTGTATGTTCAATTGCTTTTTATAGCATATTAAACCATCAAAAGCTATATCTCCATGGAATATGAAACTAGAAAATTCTACTGGACTTCCTCTTACTGAAATTGGTATGTGTTTAATCAATAATTATTCTTTTTTTTGTTTTTTTTTAATATTGTCTATACGTTTTTTTTTGTATGTAGCCACTCGTCAATTAGAAGCATTGTTTAATTTATCACAATTACTTTTTGGCTTAGCTCGAGCTGAACAATCAAATTATACATTTCGTGATTTACAATTAGGTAAACCAGCACGTCAATTTCGTGAAGCAGGATTCAATAAATTCCGTAAGCATTCTCTTCAACTTTATGAACTGATATATCATAAATATATGATCATATGTTTAGCGAATAACAACAGATCTATTGATTTCTTCACTGTTTTTCAATTTCTTGTCAATGATATACTCAAATCAGGTGCTATTGATATTGTTTATATAATGTATAAAGTAATTGTCTTATCTTATTATCATTATCTTTTTAATACTTGTATATTGCTTTATTTTTTGTCAAGGATTCTCGTATTCGATGTGTTAAACAAAAATCTCTTGATTTATTAACAAATGTAACAACAATAAAAGAAGTTGCATATTTTATTCTCGATCGTTATTCACAATTTCTTATTCAACTTGTACAAGGTATTCGTGATGGACATTTAATTGAAGAAAAAATTCCATCATTATCTGTTCTTATACGTTTATGTAAAGTTATTGTTGAAAAAAATCTTCTTAGTTATTATCAACATTTAATTGATATGCAATTTATTGATATATTAATTGATTTATTTGAATATCAACAATATAAATCAAATGATTTAATTATTTATTTTATTAAATTTGAATCACTTGCACTGCAATGTCTTTATATTATATTACAATGTGCTGAACATGTTGATATGTGGTCTGAAAGTATGTCTAGAACAATACAGAATTAGAATGTTTTTGTTAATCATGACTATCCTTTTGTAAAATACAATCGAACAGGAGTGTTGAAGTATAAAGCTAGAAATTCGACAATATAAAGTACTTTTATTCTTGAAGTACTAGAAGTAGTCACCATAGGGGGTAAGGACGAAACTTACCGTGACTTGACCTTTCCTACAACAGATAAACTGTCATCTGGCTGTCAGTTCTGTAGGATATGTCACAAGCCTATTTACCCTCGAGCGATATTGTCTGCTTATTTTTATTTCCCTGAAAACTAAAAAAATTGGCAGAAAGTATTAAGAATTTTCAAAGAAGTTTGTAATATTTCCTCATTGCATGTCTGGATGCTTAAGTAAAAGAATAGTGCAGAAATGTATTCATAAAACAATCTCTCTGTGATTAGACACAGCTGCTACATTGTGTATTACATATTAATCTTGCAAGGATTGTGTTAACAGCTTTGTTTTTGTTTTTGTTTTATTGACAGAAGCTCAAATACGTCTGGTAAATTATTGTTGTACACTTTTGTATAAATCGATTTTGGATGATGATAAAGATGATAATTCACGACGAATAGAAATAAATCATATAATTTATGCAGAACAACATAGAATAATTCATTCATTATGTTATAGTATATTAACATTTTTAAGTATTGTTCGATCTCGAAAAGAAATCGGAAGATTTTATCGTGAAAATGAACATTTTCGAGAATTACTTAATGCTATGAGACATAAATATAATGCTCAAAATGAATATCTATCTCCTGATCCATCAATATCTTGTGCACTTAATCAAGTTGTTAATAGTATATTTGATCGACATCAAAGAAAAAAACGTAGAAACTATCAACAATTGCCTATGAAAGAATATCCACATCATCAAATACAAGAAGAAGATGAAGAGAATGATGAAAATCGGCAATATAGAAAATGTTCAAATTCATTATGTCAAATGATTCAAAATGATGTAAGTTATTTTTTATAAAATCATTTTTTATTATATTTTTTATTTCTTTTTAAGCAAATAAAATTTGAAGATTGTCCTTATTGTCATAAATTGTCATACTGTAGTCAATATTGTCGAGAAGTTCATTGGACATTAAATCATAACTTATTGTGTCGACCTATGAAATCTGATAGAAAAAAAGAAGAATCAACTGTATTATGTAAAATGGATGGATTTTCTGGAATAAAGCCAATAGATTATCAAGAAAAAAAGACAACATCGATGGCTTATAACTCAGCATGCGAAACATTACCAGTACAAA